AAAAAACAATGGAAAATATGAAATAGTTACATCATTATTAGATTCTTATAAAGAAACTGATAGTAAGATGGATAATATTCTAGCGACTGGATTTTGGAATCAAACTTATAATATAACTGGTTGGTCTGTATTAGAAATAAAAACATCAGAAAATCAAACAAATATTGATCAAGTTTATGCAGCTGGATTACTCGAAGGACAGTTTACAAGAGGTTAGATTTTATTTTTTATTTAAAATAATTAATATTTGTTTTTCTCTATAGAATTAACTGGTATGCAATGGCAAAATACTATAAATGAAATTTGTTTTAATCGAACAGACTTTTGTGGAAAATTAAAAGAATTTTTTCTAATTCAACTTAATTGGATTTATACACAAATTGACAGTCATCCTAATGATGATTATTGGCATCAAGTACATATAAAAGAAAAAATTTCTTTTTAAATATTTTTTATTTTATAGATAAATTTACTTCTTGTTCAATTAAATGGTCTTATTGATGGAAATCAAAATATATCACGTGGACCAAGAAAACAACTTGAAGATCCACTTGGATTTTTGTAAACAAAATTAATATTTTAGTTTTTTAATAAATGTTTTTTTTTATAGTTTATTTCAAGTAGCCACATCTATCGATGACCTTGCTATTCATTTAGGTTTTGACAATATTACACGACATGATAGTTGTTCAGCATTAATTAAAGTAAAAATAATATTATTCTTTTATTCAAGAAAAATATTTTGTTTTATTTAGATTTTACCAGATAATAAGGATATATTTGTATCACATGCTACTTGGGATCATTATAGTTCAATGTTAAAAGTACTCAAACGTTATACAATGCCATTAAAACGAATATCATCTGACAACAGTTAGAATGATAAATTTCAATCTTCTATTATTTGTTTATTTATTTTTTTCAAGATATTGTTATTCCAGGTTCTGATATTATTTTTTCATCTTATCCTGGAACATTTCATTCAACTGGTTAGATTTATTATTTAATTATATATAAAAAAAAACGTTCTCAGTTTATTTCTTAGATGATTTTTATATGATATATCCATCAAATTTAACAGTAATTGAAACAACCATTGATAATTATAATAAATATTTATATAATAATATTCA